ATCCTGCCCCACCTCACCCCACCCCTCCCAGGAGTCCCCAGGTGGCCCATTTTGGATGCAGGTAAACAGGGCATGTGCAAAGGCTCAGGGAGGGTGAAAAACAAGCCTACCGGAAGTTCAGGAAGACTGGAAACGGGTCCGTTTCTGGCCTCCAGAGGGCCTCGGGAGCCTTGAGACGCTGTTTTTGCCCTCCCAGAGGCTCAAGGAAAGCCTCCGGAGCCTGGGGAGGGCAAAAAGCTCCCCACCCGCTGTGGTGCAGGAGGCCAACTAGGCCATGCCCACTATGCCCACGTCCACCCAGCAACCGGGCAGAGAACCTCTTGCTAAAATTTTTGAAGTCCACCCACTTCCTGGGTGGAAGATGAGAGGATTATGAGGAGACAAGTAAATAAATAGTCAGAGGTTTCTTTTATTGAGGAATCAAAGACACAGGAGAACAATCATGCCTTGTTCTTTGTTTAAATGAAAGCAGAGGATAGTTTTGTGCCTGACTTTGCGATATAATTAACAGCTTCACATAAATTGGTTTTAGAGTTTCGACTTCATTTTATTTTAATTTGTCTTTGACTGTCTCCGACGATCCTATCGGTAGCTTAAACAGGTTTGCTTCTGCAAGCAGAGGGGAGCATCCCAAGGAGACACTGAAGAATGAGAGGGAGGGAAGGAAAGCATTTTCTCTCCTATTTGTTGACTGCTTTTATCTTATTTAATATTGCGATGGTGGTCTCTGGGCTAATAAGTAAAGATCTTTCGTGTTCCTCTTAGGTGAGAAGATGTGTTCAGTTATATAACTTGGCCCGAATGAGAAAGCAAAACTCTGAGTAAACAAGATCTAAGGGTTCCCCTTGGCCAGCACTGTCTCCTGTTCCAAATGCAATGGATTTGGAGTGAAAGAGAATATTTGAACATCCCCGGATTTTACGATTAGAGAGACCTAAACTTCCAATCAACGGAAGAACGAATGAGATGTTCTTGGAATTATTACTGCCTGTGGGTCTAAACCACAGGAATGGATTGTCATGAGGAGAAAGAGACAGTGTAATGACTGCCATAGAGTCAAGGATCATGAGAATTCTAGATTGTCGTGAGCTTGGGAAAGTTTAAACTTCTTAAAAGTGCCATAAAAGAAAAGCCTCCATCAGAGGAAGTTAAAACTTCAGTTTGTCATCTGCTAAGAATGGAGAACCATGGACCTTCGAGAGGCAGCCTTCAATGGTGGGATTCAAAATTTTTTACTACTGGTTCTCTGGATGTGGCTTGGTGGATGTGGCATGGCTTGGTGGGTGTGGCTTGGTGGGCGTGGCAGGGGAAGGATTCTGTAAAATCTCCATTCCCTCCCCACTCCAGGGGAAGGTTACTGCAAAATCCCCATTTCCTCCCAATCAGCTGGGACTCGGGAGGCAGAGAATAGATGGGTGTGGGGCCAGTCAGAGGTGGTATTTATTGGCTTTCTGAACTACTCAAAATTTCCGCTACTGGTTCTCCAGAACTGGTCAGAACCTGCTGAAACCCACCTCTGGCAGCCTTCTCACAAACGGATTGTGCCCATCCTAGTTGATCGCTGCTTCCCTTGGGACAGGATATTGGATCATATCAGATCATGATGGCAGTCACAGACCAGCATGAAGAAGGGGGGGGGGGTTACAGTCAATTAAAAAAGCATAAAAGGTACATCAGAGTCTTTTTATATGTATATATATATATATATATATATAAAGCTAAAAGATATAAAACAGAAAGTATATATTTATTTATTTATTTATTGGTTCGATTTATATGCCGCCCTTTTCCGGAGACTCAGGGCGGCTTACAATGCGTTAAGCAATAGCCTTCATACTTTTGTATATACCTGCTTAGTAGGGCTTTTGGGGGCCCCCCCAAAGCGGTGTTCTTTTTTATACAAAGTCAGCTTATTGCACCCACAAACCGGGTCCTCATTTTACCTACCTCGAAAGGGTGGAAGGCTGAGTCAACCTTGAGCCTGGTGAGATTTGAACTCGCAGTAATTGCAGGCAGCTGGTGTTACTTAATAGTGCTTTAGTCTGCTGCGCCACCAAGGCTCTATATGAAGAACAAGAGTCTGATTTGATTTGGGGCAGGAATGAATAGAAATGCCAGCTGAGCATTTCTGGAGAACAGAAGATGACATGAAGAAAAGGTAGGAATTTATCTGGATATAGGTACGAGCTGATTCGGTTAGGCAGACATGTAAACCAGAGGTAGGAAACCTCTGGTACTGAAGATAATGCCCGAACATTGATGAGAGATGTTGACAGTTGTGTTTAGCATACTCTGGGGTAGGGTACTGTTACTCAACCTCTAAGATGTGTGACTTTTAACTCCCAGAATTCCCCAGCCAGCCATCTTAGAGTTGTCGAGATTGAGAAAGATTGCTCTGGGGTGTCACTGGCTGCCCACTCAGTGTAAACCTTTCCTCCGATTTCCCTGTTTTCCTAGTCTCCTGACAAAGCTTTATGCCTTCAGTACAATGTTCTAAAATACTTACAAGCCTCTAGAGTTTGTGATGCTCTCTGAGCTTGGTTTTTTTGCTTGCAGATGTTTCCTCACCTCAGTTGGTAACATCAGTGGGAGTAAAATGTGAGGTTTGTTGCCTGTTTATAGGCAGTAGCTCGCCCTGCCAGTTTTGGAGGAGGTGTAATGTCGTCCTTGTGGTTCCTTGATTAGGGTATTGTTTCCTGCCTGTTTATCTGGTGCTCATCTCTGATCATCTGCATGTGGGCTGCTAGAGGGGTGGTGGTGGTGTAGTTCTTTTGTTTCCTCCTAGGTTTTGTATTGGCTCTTTTGAATGATGTGTAAATGTAGTTTATCTCTATGTATCTGTTGATGGCTGATATATGTATGGCTACCTGAGAGTAGCCTCATTTTATGGGTCAGAGATGATTAGCCCCAGCTATATAAGAGCTCCTGGAAATTAGAATAGAATAGAATAACAGAGTTGGAAGGGACTTTGGAGGTCTTCTAGTCCAATCCCCTGCTTAAGCAGGAAACCCTATACCACTTCAGACAAATGGTTATCCAACATCTTCTTAAAAACTTCCAGTGTTGGAGCATTCACAACTTCTGGAGGAAAGTTGTTCCACTGATTAATTGTTCTAACTGTCAGGAAATTTCTCCTTAGTTCTAAATTACTTCTCTCCTTGATTAGTTTCCACCCATTGCTTCTTGTCCTGCCTTCAGGTGCTTTGGAGAATAGCTTGACTCCCTCTTCTTTGTGACAGCCCCTGAGATATTGGAACACTGCTATCATGTCTCCCCTAGTCCTTCTTTTCATTAAACTAGACATACCCAGTTCCTGCAACCGTTCTTCATATGTTTTAGCCTCCAGTCCCCTAATCATCTTTGTTGATCTTCTTCTCTGCACTCTTTCCAGAGTCTCAACATCTTTTTTTTTACATCGTGGCAACCATTAAATCACATGTTGCTCCAGCCTTGTATGGCCTGATCCTTGTGAGCTTTGTACATTTGTGCCAAGGATTTTTGGATACTGTTCATGAAACAGATTGTGCTTTTTGTCTGGCCTTGGACCATGGATGTCAATAAGGGCTTATGCTCCAAAGGCTGTAGTTAGAACTAACTATAGCTTAGCCTGATGTGTTTAACTGATTCACAATCTAATAATGCCAGAAGGGGCAGGAAAATAATTACATAAGACAAAGTCTTCTCAAATTTTAATGTTCAACATCATTTGTTTCTTCTATCTCTTTAGTTTTGCAGCCCTCACTATTAGCTTGTCCTAAATTATTGCATTCCTTGTCCACTTCAGCCCACAGTCCAGCCTTGCCCCTCTGAAAACACTCCACTGCATAATTTATGTCGGGAAGCAAAATAATTTAGGTTCAATATACTAAGTTGGAATTTTGGGAACATGTTATGGACACTATCACACCATGGACTTGCCTTCTCATAAAATGTTGGCTTTGATGGGGTTTGTCAGGCACAAATCACCTGTTTATCAGAAACCAAGCAGGTGAAGGATGCTCATTCTATCACCCTAACTTTGCTTTGTCCTTTTTAACTTCAGTGGAAGAGGAGCTTGAAAATGGCTTCAAGGCCTTGAAAATGGCTTCAACGGGTGCTTTACTTCGATAAAGGTTCAAAAGAGAACCAGCTCAAACCACTTCTTCAGAAGACAATGTGGCTGCATGGCTTTCCTTGTTCCTCTGGCTTTGCTGGGAGAAATTATGAGTTGAGGCAAGTCACATTGTGTCTCCACTTCAATAAGGCACATTACATCACCTTCACAACATGAAGCTACTCATAGAAGCCTGATCATTTCCAGGAACAATTCCTTTTGCAAAGAAAGTCCTTATAAATTCAAGTCAATAGGAACAAAGTAGGAATTTGTCTCTTGATGAAAATGAAAGGAACGCTCGTTACTGCAAATGAAGTAATTACCATTTGTTCAACAAGTTATTATTTAGAAAATCCTGGTACTGCATATAACATTAAAAGTAAGCCCATCCAGGGAGTAACCTCAGAACTTCAAGATTTCAGTAAGGGCAGGGATCATTCCCTACCTTTCCTGGGGTTGCAAGAAGGATGCTGAGCTATGGTCTTTTCATACCATTTTTCAAGAAGTAACCATGCTACTTCAGCTAAAGCTTTGTCGTATCTTCAGAATCAAAGAATTGTGACAGAGGTGAATTATGCCTTTTGAGTTGTTTGTGATCTTGATACCTGTGAGGTGATACTAGCAAGATCTCCACTTTTGTAGGAACAGGTTACCCATGTATCTTTGATTTACAGCTCATTAGGTTAACTATGTATCCTTGATTCACAGCTAGCCTGGAAAAAAGAAAAAAAAAAGAAAGATATACGATGTTATTGGGTTATGCCATGATCAATTATTGGAATGTATCTCTCCCCCTCTGTCTTCCCATCTCTTACCTCCATTTAAACACAATTAACAATCTCTAATAGCTGTCTCCATCGGCAACAATACTGTGTGTGTGTGTGTGTGTGTGTAGAGACGCACTTCCATAATAGCATCAATAACTCCCTAAAAACACATTAGCCAAGGAGACAGCATTTAAACGATGGAACCGAGCAATGGGAAGAATTTTCTCCACAACAACCCTTAAAGACTGTGATTGACTGTTCCCTTCCTTTAATCTGCATCTTGTACGTTGTTTCCAATGTCCAAGAGAGATGTCAGATTCCCCACACCCAATCTTTTTTTAAAATAAGAAATCACCATCATTAGGAGAGCTTGCGAATTCAGTTTCCTGTGCTCAGCTGCTTGGCAGCCGATAAAGGAGGGAGGCAGTGTGTTGCTGGGTATATACAGAAGAACTGCTAGAATAGATGTCAGATTCCACCGGCTAGTGCAACTGCTTTTGAGAGCTCCTATTTCTGCCTTGGCTGCCCAGTATCCCCCTTTCTCTCTGATTGGAAGTTTTGGGTTTATTTGAATGTGCTTTGCAAGGGAAAGAGTGAGCCTATTCACGAGGAGAAGAGCTGGTTCTTTTCAGCACCACCAAAACGGGACAGCTCCCACGAAGTCTTTGGACTGCAACCCTTCTGATCCTTTTGTCCTACCACTAACTGGACTCTGGAGCCACCTGGTATCATGGAGCTGTCCACCATCCCCGGTGCTGAAATATTTTACAACAGCACCTTGCAGGACTTTAGCTCAAGTTCTCTCACAACTTCTAATGCCACAAATCAATTGCCAATGAAAAATACTACTTCAATCATCATAGCTATTGCTATCACCGCCCTGTATTCCGTCGTATGTGTGGTGGGACTTTTGGGGAACATCCTGGTAATGTACGGCATTGTCAGGTAAGAAAAAAGGTTCCAAAATATCAAGCCCAGCTTGTTCTTTGACTAGATGAGAGGAAGTTTTACGCCTATGTGGCTTGGCTGGATGCCACAAGGGTCATTGGAAAGAAAGAAGGCATGAAGTAGATGTGTAGGGAGATTGGGAGAGCATGAACTTGTGACATAAACTTGTAATGTAATGTAGTCTGTGTGAAAGAGTGAAAGAAAAGTCACTTGCATGCCAAATGAATTAATAACCAGGATTAAAGAGAATGCTGGTTCTGCACTGAATGGGAATAGTTTGAAGTTGATGAAGGAAATTTAGAGCCATATCTGTGCATTCAGCAGTGCCCTATCATGTGGAAGTTAGGATAGAAATGCAACATTAAAAATGTGGGTTTTGTGACTCAAGAAATGATGTGCTTTACTGCATGCATTTTTAACTGCAAAATGAAGGTTGCTATTATTGTGGTTTTAGAAAATTGCCATGGCTGATACATCTCTGGAACAATGAAGATTTTACAGTGCTAAAAATTCTGCCCACTATGAATTTTATATATGGCTATATATGAATGAAAAGGGAGACTCAAAACAACAGCTACAAAAATGCAATGACTTTTCAAATAGGAGTATCTTGATCAGGCAGAATAAACTCTAAGATGCATTCACTCTCAGTTTGGGAAGAAGAAAAATATTGTTTTCTTTCAATTTATCTATCAAGAGAGACATGAATGTGCCTCTATGGGAGATACCAATTTTTCTAGAAATGCAAGACAGGTTCAACATGTCAAACAAACAGAGACTGTGAACATAAACAGCAACATGTCTCAAACAATATGTGCTTTGTTAGTATGTTGTCCTCAGCATAGCTTCTTTCAAAGATGTTGGACTACAAGTCCAAGAATTTTAGGCTGCCTCAAAATTATGGAAACTGTAGTCCCTCACACCTGAAAGATATTTGTTTGGGAGGGGGGGGAAGAATATTTCATAACTTGGCTTATGAGAGGTCATTTTTTTTATTGTACGGAGAAATTTCCAAGATACCACATATATCTCTGGTGGAGGCAATAGTGCTATTAGAACAGATAACCGTGACATGGAATCTTATCAAATAAATTCAGATCCTGATGGGATCATTAAATACTTCTGCAATCTCTTCAGTTTAGGTCTAATGAACCTGCATTCCAGCCATTGGTCCCAACAGAGAAATATTTTTAATCCTGACAATTACCAATTCCCACCGAGTCTCTTTTCTGTCTAGAAATGCTGAGTTTTAACCTGGGAATTCTTCTACAGCCCCTTTATTTTTTGTGCCTAGAATTGCGACGAGAAAGTTGCTTGAGAATTGCATTTCCACTTCTCTCCTTCCGCCTCTTTTTTATTTCTTTTTTTAAACTCAAATGCTGTAACTTCTGGTTAGGTCTAGCTAAGCAAAGAACTGACCTCTCATAGCATCATTTTGTTTCAAATGGCATATTATGCAAACAAACAGGCCCCATTTTGTGAACTGGGCTGCTCACTTTGGAGGCTGTGTGAGTCAGCATTCACACATTAATTTGAGGAAAGAGTGCCAAGGTGGGTTTTTTTCCTTCCTTTCTTGTTTCTGAGTCATGCAAAGCAGTGAAATGGTTTGCTTTCATGCAAACAATTCAAAAACCCATCAACAGATTCCTGCATTCTTTCTGTACTTGGCAAAGACAAAACAGTAGCAAAGTCATCACTAATATGCAGCGCCCCTGAACTCAGGACACTTTTTTTAAAATTTGATTTATATGCCGCCCTTCTCCGGAGACTCTGGGCGGCTTAACAGTGCATTAAGCAATAGCCTTCATACTTTTGTATATTTTATACAAAGTCAGCTTATTGCCCCCACAAACTGGGTCCTCAATTTACCTACCTTAGAAAGGATGGAAGGCTGAGTCAACCTTGAGCCTGGCAAGATTCGAACTTACTTTAATTGCAGACAGCTGGTGTTAAATTACAGTGCCTTTGTCTGCAGAGCTATCCAGGCACTTGGAACTTGGCATGCCAAGGAAATTGAATTTTGGGCTCAGGATACCAAACATTTGTTTCTGGAGTAGAACACTACAAGAGTTGCTTAGTGCATTGTAAGCCGCCCTGAGTAGAAGGGCGGCATATAAATCAAATTAAAAAAAAAAAAAAAGAGTGTAATTTGTGTCTGCAATTAAAGTAACATTCCCCCACCCCACACTATATTTTCTCATTTCACTTCCCAATAATTTACTGAAGTGATACAATAGAATAAGAAAGTAGTTTATATAAGTATAATAACTCAGAGCAATCACAAAGAACATTTAGGTTGACTGAACGAAAATATTCCATCTGCCAGCATTTGCAAACCCTCACCCGAAAATTCCTTTGCTGTTTTCGAGCCTTTATACAATTTCCAATTTTGTCCTAGACTTATGAGGTATGATAGTTTGAGGCCGTTTTCTGCAAATGGGAGCCACGATATCCAAATATTCGGGGGGGGGAGACCCCTCTTTGTGTGAATGGGTCATGAAGTGCAAAACCAGACATAACTCTTGATAAGTAATCTCTAGCAGATTTGGTATAATTGATTTCAAGAATTGCAACCTGCATCTCCTTGATTAAGACCAAATACTAGCATCTCCTGGTAGGGCTTTGCTATTTCAGGAGAGGGAAGATTTCTGCAGAAATCTGGATGACAATTAGATAGCTTCAAAGAGACGCAGGGGAAAAAAAAAAAAGATTGCAGCTCAGGGTTGAACTCTGTGGTCCTTGGTGCTCTCTGGGCTTGATTGTTTTCTTGCAGATGTTTCATTACTCAACAAGTGGTTCCTTGATTAGGCTATTGTTTCATTGTTGTTAGACTGAAATACAAGAAGTAAACAATACTCCAGTCAAGAAGCGACCAACTCAGATAATCTATCAAACAGCAGCCTAGGAACCACCAAAGTCCATTCCCACCTACACTGACAGAGCAATACACTACTATATAAAATAAGAGCAAACCCCCTAGCAGTGATGATATTATCTAGTTTGGTATTGAAACATCTGCAAGAAAAGGGGTGTGCATAAGAGCACCAGCGTGCCTACCGTCCCTGTCCTAATGTTCCCTTTAATTGTATTCATTTTATGTATTCAATTCATGCTTATACTTATATATATTATCTAATACATACTCGACAAATAAATGAATGAATGAATGAATGAAATAAAACAACCAAATTCAGAGCACCAAGGATGGAGAGGCTGTCATCTGGATTGTTGCAACCCAGAACTGATAGCCTTGCTGAATGTCTAGGCAAGAGTTTGCCTAAATTATTAACCACATTACTCTAACTGCTGTGCCTGATGCAGTTTTTAAAAGTTTACAAACCTTGATTTGTTCATTCGGCTGCGAAATGCCAAGAGATTAACAAATCGTGTTCTCATTGTCTTTTCCAAGCTAAATTGCCAGTGTTGATCTTCATAGTTAATTTGGAGCCAAATTATCTTACAAACTTTTTTTCCCCCTCCTGATAAAACTACCATGTTCTGAAGTCAGCCACAGAAACATGCACGGATTCCAGCTTGGAACAATCGATTTGAAAGGCAAAATAAGATATGTAGCATGCCTGGATGTGCACGTAGCACCCGTCAGGAACTAACAAAACGTGACTACTTTTAGAATTGCACAGCGCAGTCATATTTTGCCTTCAGGCCAGACTGCTGCACAACCCTAACCCTAACCCAATTTGTTTGGTTGCTAAGATGGGGACTTAGACCGGGAATCGTAAAATTGGAAGGTTCCTCCATCACCAATTAAGTTTCAGCTTTCAGTGAGTTGGGACTCTTTCCAGAATGGCCAGACAAGGAAAAATGATGAGGAAAAGAACAAAATTTTTTTTTAAAAAACAACAACAACACCAAGCTGAGGCACCAGTTCTAAAAATAATTCTTCATCTAGTGACTTTTTGAGATTGTATAGACAATTCATGGATTGGAAGCAGTTAGATCAGTGTTTCTCAACCTTGGAAGCTTGAAGATGGGTGGACTTCAACTCCCAGAATCCCCCAGCCAGTGCTCCTGGCTGGGGGATTCTGGGAGTTGAAGTCCACCCATCTTCAAGCTTCCAAGGTTGAGAAACACTGAGTTAGATGATCATTGGGAACAATCAGCATAAGCTGGTTCCTAATTGCCATAAGAAACAGTCTGACAGGTACAGTGACTGGTACATTATTTTACCTCAGAGTTGTCAAACTCAAGGCCCAGGGGCCGGATTCGGCCATGGGGTACTTAGATCTGGCCCACGGGGTTGCCCTGGAAACAGTGAAGGACTGGCCCGCAGTACTTCTGCCAGAGAAAACGGGGCTCCAAACTCCATTTTCAGCTGCTGCGGCCTCCTGCAACCCTCTGCCAGTGAAAAGGGAGTTTGGAAGGGCCGCGTGCAGCCCCCCACCCCCACCCCCAAGTGCCATTTTCACTGGCAGAGGATTGCAGGAGGCCGTAGCAGCCGAAAACGGAGCTCAGGAGCCTGTTTTCACTGGCAGAGCACTTGGGCCACCACAGGCACCCCTGACAGGAGTGAAGTCAAGGTGACCATGTCCACCCTGGCCACGCCCACCCCAGCCTCCTGAGTCAAACACAACCCTGATGCGGCCCTCAATGAAATCAAGTTTGACACCCCTGCTTTACCTGTTCATTTTTAAAGTGTCACGATATTCTACGATCATGAATTCCACAGTAAACTGTGTGTCTAACAGATTAACAGAGTTGGGAGGGACCTTATAGGTCATCTAGTCCAACCCCCCGCTCAAGCAGGAGACCCCACACCATTTCTGACAAATGGCAGTCCACTCTTTTCTTGAAAGTCTCAAGTGATGAAGCGTCTCTTGGAATGCTTGGTTTGTCACTTTCAGCAGGTTAGAATGATTGAGATATCATATTTTAATAGTTTCCCATCTTTGCTGGCTTCCGATTATTCATAATTCTAGAACCTGTCATGTTGTGGCCAAACTGGTTTATTCATACTCACTTAGCCACTGTGAATTCCC